GCTTGTTATATATCTAATTATCTTTATAAATAAATATATTAAATTATCAGCAATTTGGTTTTATCTCTCTAGAGAACCCTGTCTAACACATTTAGCTGCATACCAAGTACCAAGAGAAGTATTAATTTGCTCAAGCAAAGAAATCACATCTGGAATGGCAGCTGCAATTAGTGCAGCTTTATTTTAACACTTTAAAAAAGAATTTTACTATCTATACCGAAAACCAAACTCAAGGCCACTGAGTCAGCTCCTATGTCTTGCAACCCAGTAGGACAGACTAGAACTGTCTCTGTGGGTTTCCAAGGCTGTAAGTCTTTACAGGAGTCCAAAGCCTCGTCTTTATCCACAGAGGCAGCTGGTGGGTCCAACCACTGACCCTGAAGCTACAAGCTCACTGCATGCCACACTGTGCCAGCAGGGCTCCTCATTTCTACTATTGAGAGATCGTCAGTGTAATGGATGGTATTTCTGTCATTAGGTGTATCCCATTTCTACTGTAATGGTCTTTACGTAGTCTTTATTTGTGGGAGTCTTTATGTGTGGGATCCTCTTATAGACTATGCTCATTTCTGTTACTATAAACCAAACCCACTGCCATCAAATGGACTCGACTCATAGTGACCCTTGATAGGGTTTCAGAGCTGTAAATCTTCACAGGAGCAGACAGCCTCCCCTTCCTCCATTGGAGGATTGGTGGGCTTGAACTGCTGACCTTGTGATTAGCAGTCCAAATCTTACCAGGCAGTGCCACTACAGGAAACAGATAGCAGTAGATCTGCTTTTCTAAAGTGGGAGTGGAGAGCAGGAATCCAGCTCACTGGCAGTTAGATGAAGCCACTAGATCTTCCTTCCTCCTCCCCCCCTCCTCCCCACCCCACCGGTGGAAGGGCCTGAAGCACTTTCATGGACCACCAAGGTGTGGTGGACAGTGGAGCCATTCCACAGAGAGAAGTGGGAAGGCAGACAGGATGCACTTTGGAGAATCAGCAAGACTGTGAAAAGCAACAGGTCACCAGAGACATCAGTCCTTCTTTGCCATCTCAGCCTTTACACCTGAGCAAAGTGAAGCCCAGAGCAGTCAAGCAATTTCTCCAAAGCCCGCAGCGTGTAACTGCAAAAACAGGACTCAAATGTGGGCTTCCGGCCTCCAAGTCTCATTTGCTCTTTTCACGATACTAAACTATCGGATTCAGGGGGCAGAGAAGGAGGCGAACATCTCCAAGCCATTAGCCAATGAACGGGTCACTCGGTTTGTGCACACAGTGAATGAGACCAGCCGTTAATCTGAACTTTCGAGGTTTCAGTCCACCTGGAGATGCCGTGGAAGCAAGGACTGGCAACCTGCTCAGTGACGGGCTGCCGGAGAGAGCTCCGTGCCGCCCTGACGCACTGGCAGAGAGAGCCTCACTCACAGGTTTTCCCGGGGGCGGAGACGCTCACACCGTCACCATCCGTGTAGATGGGAGTCACTGTGACTTTGTATTCCGTGTCCGAAAGCAGAGCCCTCAGAAGGAGATGATTCTGACGTCCAGGCACCATAACCTGAACCGGAAAGCAAAGAACCATCGTCTCAGTACAGTTTCTGTTCCCACCGGCCCACGGAGGGGGCGGGATTTAGACACCTTGCGATGGCAGAAGCGAGGAGAGCTGTTTGGGGCGGGATGAGGAGAGAAAGAGCATCCATGCAAAACCGAAAGGAAAACAAACTCACTGCCACCCAGGCAGTCAGACTCACAGTGACCTTATGGGACAGGGTAGAACTGCCTCTGTGGGTGTCTGAGACTGCCACTCTTTATGGGAGTCGAAAGCCTCCTTTTTCTCCGGAAGGGTGGCTGGTGGTTTCAAACTGCTGCCCAAAGCATCCACCAGGTCCCTCTGACACCCTCGCATACTAAGCCTGGTTTACAATCACTAACAGAGAAGGTTTACACCAAACACTCTCACGCCTTATGGGATCTTCTTCCCTCGATGTCATCCAGCTATTTGTGTAAAAGTAAAATAAAATAAATGCAGGCTTAAGAGGAGACAGATGACCTGTGTGGAAAGCAGGTGTTTATGACTTCGAGGTGTTCATTCTATTAGCGGGGTGACCGGCTGTGTGATACTTTTAGCTTTACTGGAGGATCCTCTAGAAAGTTCAGCCTGTATTCTGTATCCCTTCTGGGATCCTCTGACCTCAGCATCTCAGTCTCTCCATGACGATGGGGCTCAGCCCAGAGCTGCAGAACCACACAGTGGATCCAAGTTTCCCAACTTGGAACGTGTAAACCAGCAACACAAAACCTGCTGCCGCTTTTCTTTTCTGAAAAGAGAGTGCTTCTTCCATCTGCAGTCACCATCGCTCAGTTGGTCTCTGAAGGGTCCACCCTCCAAGTGGCATGTGGCCGTAGACTCATCAGTGCTCAAGTGCTAGTGCAGCGTGCCACGTGTGCAGCAGGGCAAATGGGCCTTCCCAAGAAGAACGGTGGGGACCAGAGAAGCCACGTGTTCTCAATGCTGAAACCGCAGGACACCCTGCCTGTGTTCCAGCCGATTGACACTCGGAGCCATTTAAGGAATTTAATCCTGGCTGAGGGGAGAAAAAAAAAAAGCAAGGAGTAAGAACTGACCCAAATGAGCTTACGGGCGTCACAAGACTCGGACAGCTGGAGACACTTTTCAACTCAAGGGCTGAGTTACATGCCAGCAGGCCGAGGGCTGAGCTGTCTACTTCTGGACAAGGAGAGAAACCTATAAATCATGGAATAAGCCCCAGAGAGCCTCGAGTTGAACCCCGGACCAGCTGTTGCTAAGATGTGCTTCAGCCTTGCAAGCAACGGGCTGGCTATTTTTTTTTTTTTCCGGTTATTTCTTAGTAAACTAAAGGAAGCCCGAAGAAGGTGACATGATGTTAGAATAATATGATAGTTGCTGCTTTGGAAAGGGGTGCTGGAACGCATCTGGTCGTGCCGATGTGCGGGCTCGGGGGTGGGGAGGGAGATTTGTGACCCTTCTGCTTCAGAGCCGTCACATTCAGTATAAGGATGTTTCTTCTACCCAAGCGGATGGAGCGTCTCTGCTCAATCTCAGTTCAGATCTCGGCTCTTCTTTTAAGGACATGGGCAAAGTCTCCTAAGACTTAAGGCTGACATGCACCATCAATCAATAGACAAACTAAAAGTATTTTTCTAAAAGTCCGCTTTATCGAGACCAGCTAGACAACCCTGGCTTTAAGGGATGGAAAAGGGGACGAGTACCTGCCCGGGCTTGTCTTACCCCGTGATGTCGCTTCCTGCAGGGCGTTCCTTTCAAACTTCACTCCGCTGGCAATCACAGCCTGGCTGCTCATTCCAAGCCATCTGTCTAGCAAACCACCCATGTAGATGTCTTTTCAGTAAGTTCACCTCTCAGAGAGAGACCTGCCTGGGCCTGGGACCAATCAGATTTAGACTGCAGGGCACTGAGACGTAGTGTGACCATTCCGAAAGAACCATTTAGCTCTCCAGGAAGATGCTGCGCACACAGGTTGATACTGATAGCTGTTGTGTAGCTAATGTGCCAGGGGATACTCTACGTATTGAAGCTAGCCGGGCATTTCATCTCCACCATAACTTCTTTTGGCGTAATGAGTATCATTAGCCCACCCTTTCCCAAAGAGATGTAAAGAGGCTCATTTTACAGATGGGAAAACTGAGGCCCACACAGCTTATTTAGTGGAGTCAGGTGGACCCATCAGGAATCTGACCCCAGGTCTTCTTTCACCACCACACTCCACTCCACAGACCTGCGTGGCTGAAGCACTTTCCACTCCAATCAGCCTCATTCCCAAGAGTAAAATGTAAATCTCTTCGATGGGGTCTCAACATTCCTCTGGTTTGTTTTCTGCTTTCAATGCTCAAAACAGATGCTGCAGAACCCAGCAGGTGGTGGTTTTGTTTCTATGCCGTCCAATAAAGAATGCTCCTAAGCAAATGAGATGCAAATCTAACTGGTGAATTTCTTCTTTTTCTTTTTCTCCCCCCTGCCCACCCCCAAAATGGAATTCCAGCTCTGGCTTCATTATTGCCCCAAGCTCTTCCAAGCAGCCTGGACCACATCCAGCCAGCGGTTCCCTGCAATAAAAAGAAGACTCCGTCCGTCTCATTAAAGAAATCTCATTCCATAGAAAGCTCTGCTTTCTGGGCAGGGTGTCTCCAATTCTCTGTGGTAAAGAACTAGGTGCTAACCCCACCCAATGGAATGGAACAGCAGAATTGTATGTGAATGGATATAATGGAATGTGCAAGATATGTCAATAAAAACCATAAAAAGATATATATTAAAAAAAGAACTAGGTGCTGCTGTTGCTGCTTTACATCCATCCACTGCAGACCAATCATTATATAAAAATGTAAACTAATTGCAAGAAAATAGTATGCTTGGATCCATAGCAGCAACGTTAAGTGCTGATCAATGTATCCACAATCCCAATTTCTGTACTAATCTTATGGGAGCCAAGTCACTCTGCAAGTAGGCACTTGGTGGCATTGTCAGGGAAGTATTAGACTGCGAACTGCAAACCACAAACTGCTTCCTGGGAGGAAACCAAAGCTCACTGCCATCAAGCTGATTCGGACTCATAAGCACCAGGGGAAGATGAGGCTGTCCGCTCCTGCGAAGATTGACAGCCTCAGATACCAGGACTGGGCCGCGGTGATGGCAGATCCACTCCATGGCTGTGGGTTCTTTCTAGACGATCTCTTGAGACTCCAGATTCGGCCCTGGCTCTGGATTTCGACATCGAGGCTCAGGGAAACCAGCCTCTCACAAGTTAAATCAGCCTCTCTACTCTGAGAGCAAAACATAGGGCAACGTCACTGCCACTCCTTTACATTTCAGAGCAGAACCGGAAGTCAATGCTCAGGAAACACTTGGCAGGTGGCTGACCCTTCTAATGGTCCGAAAGCTTTTCTTATTGGAAGATGCTTGCTTATTGTCATTACGCGTAAATACATTCATACTTCACTGCTCTTGGTATAGTCTATTTCGTTCATCTTGCTTTATCCTGTGCATGCCGACCTTGGTTGACAAGGTTACACAGCTAAGCTTCACTCTTCGGCAACTCCAACACACTCTTAACCTCTCCTCATGGAAGGGTACCGGCTTTCATTGGAAGGAAGGATTGGCATGGGAGTAAAAAAGAGATTCCTCAAACTCAGATGTGTTTTCTCTTTCTGAGTTTTATAATATGCTCTGGCCATCTGATTAGCCTGGTCATCCATCATTATTTTAAGATAGGCTTTTGACCGATGGGACTTCAGACCCAGTCTGAAAGTGCCGGGACTACCTTGGTTCTAGAACCTCAATTCAGATGCTCCCTCCTTTTTGTCACCAATAGCAGTAGATTACTTTTGCAAAGCAGCAACACTTCCTGAAACATTGAAGTATAAATTCTTGACTCATCCACAGATGAGTCCCTGAAAAGATGCAGGTCTATCAAGTGTGCCCAAGCCCTAGTTCATGAGAAAGCATTAAAGGATTTTGGTGGGGAGGGGAGAGTATGATTTTCTTTGTACGAAATTCAGGTTAGGTAAATCTAGAGAGGCATTAAAGGATCTTGATATTTAAACTATTCTACAGAGCTTACTTCTGAGCAGCATAGAATAATAACACTGCAGCGAAGCGAGGGAGAGCCGGGTCTCAACAGGACTGCTTTGTTTCCCTGGGTCTCACGGGTGGTTTATACCTTTGAGAGGGACTCGTCATCACTTTTCTACAGTTCTCTATTGGAATTTTCCTTCGTGGATGAGTTTTCCACCTTACACAGGTTCTGGCTTTCACAGGTTTCACTGTCAGAACAATACTTTGGAATGGAAAATGTTTACCAGCCAACGTATTCATCTTTCTCATTTTAATTGAGAGCTTGTATAACTGGGGCACAGGGGTGGCTCAAGCTTTCGACCAATTTTCTTTCATCCAGGTGTCCACGTGCTTCCAAAGCAAGCAGTGGACTGAAGGAAACAAGCAACGAGAAAATTCGCTGGAGGCCACCCCAAGTCAATATTATTGTGATGATTTTACCTTGCATAGCTTACGAGGGCACGCAGGGGATGATGAAACTGCTGCTCTCTTTACGAATTAGCAAGAATACTTCACCAAGAAGCTTAATGTATTTCTTGGAAAGAATTAAAAAAAAAAAAAAGAAATCCAACTCTCACTCCAGAGAATTTTCATGGGTCTCATTTTGAAGAACAAAATTATAAGGGAAGGACCATAAAAACAAAAACTCCAAGGAGATCTTTCATCCCCACTCCTAAACACAATGTTCAGATTTTTGGCTTTGCCTATCACGGATCACTTGTGCCCCTGAACTTCCCCAAAACCTCCTAGGCCAAACCTGTGGGCCGTCTGTCTGGTTATATGTAATGGGTTTCACGAATCCCGGGGCTATCACTCTGCTTCATAACGTTTCCTCTATCTGCTGGAAAGCGTCTTTGCCTGAAAAAGTCTGAAGTCAAACAACTGTATAAATAACTAAGAAAAATCGTTCTTTCGTAGAAAAGGTTTCTGAATAAGGAAAGGGGAGAAGGGGGGGGGAGGGCGGTAATCTCACAGCCATAGAGCTGATGCCGACTCATAGGAAAGGGATCAAAGGATAATATGCTGCTGGGAGCCCTGGTAGGATAGTGGTTACATCTTGGGCTGCTAACTGCAAGGTCCACAGTTCAAAGCCACCAGTCACTCTGGGAGAAAGATGAAGCTTTCTACTCCCACAGGGGCAGGTCTGCTCTGTCCTATAGGGTTGCTTTGAGTTGGAATTAGCTCAATGGCAGTGAGTTTAGTTGGGTTTCATTTGAGCAAGTGTATTTTGGAGGTTTTCCCCCCCTAGAAGGACTCAAAAGTATACAGCATAGAGTCACAACCCCAAAGAATGGGCCGAATAAATAAGTACTCCCATGAGGGGAACTACCATTTATCCCATGACTCTCACTGCCTTCGAGTGGATTCTGACTCCTAATGACCTCCTGAGCAGGGCAGAACTGACCCTGTGAGTCTCCGAGACTGTAGCTTTTCATGGGAGTTGAAAGCCTCTTCTTTCTCCCCCATGGAGCAACTGGTGGTTTCAAACTGCTGACCTTGTGGCTGGAAGCCCAAAGCATAACCACTATGGTACCAGGCAATTCTTTGGAATGCAAACTCACGTAAGCTTGTCTGACCAAAAACATTTCTAGACAACCATCGGGGGAGGGGGGGGAAGAGGAAAAATATGAGGGGGCTTCAAAAATTTAGGGGGGAAATTTCATTATCTTTCAACTGCATTTTCCTATGACCTTTTGTGAAAAGTCAGAAAACATGGGAAGGTCATGGTTAGAAATACATCAAGTTTACCTGTAGAAAAAGCAGCACAGATAAACAAACACCCCCGGATGCATAAAAATAACAAGTACCCGAGGTCAGATAGCAGGGACCTTGGTGGCACTGTGGGTTAAGCATTGGGCTGTTATCCACCAGTGAAGTGGCTGAGGCTCTTCATGCCCAGGAAGATTTGACTGTGTTGGGAACCCTGTATTGGGTCACTATGAAGTGGAATTGACTTAATGGCCGTGGGTTTGGATTTGTTTGTTTTTTTAATTTTGGAGGGAAGATATAATTAAAAATAAAGTGGAAATGGCAGTAAATTCATACCATATGAATTTATATCAGGGGGAAATTTAGCTATTCATTATAATTATGTAGCAACAAATAATTTAACTGAAAGGTTGGGGGTTTGAGTCTCCCGCAAAAGAAACATCTACCACTTTCAACACAGCCGCCGCCACCTCACCGAGCACAGGTCTTTGAGCCACGTGGGTTCACCATGAATTGGAGTTGGCAACATCTGGTTTACACACACACACACACACACACATGAACAATGAAAATTGTATTATCTAAATTTAGCTCTCTGACAAGAAGTCAAGGCAGCAGAAGCAAGGCTGGGACCAGGTGCAGAAGCCTTCTCCACTTGAAGCACCCAGGTGTGGAGAGAGTAAGGTTACCAAGGAAGCAATAGCGGAGTGAGGGTTGACCAGGCACATTAGTTTCTGGAGAGAGCCGAGTGACCAAGCAGTCAGCACAAAGACTTGCATGAACCTCCAAAGTTAGCCTCGTTAGCTCAGTTAGTCGTGGCGCCCCGGGCGTTTCTGGTCAGCCGTGCTTATACAGACCGTTCCTACCACTTCTTCCGCAGGGTCCCCTTGAGCAGTCAGATAGGTCACCCTGAACTGCTGCACACTGCTGTCTGAAATGTCCCATTTTACCCGCAGGCTGGAAGTGGTTTCATCATCTACCACCAGGTTTCTGATTCCTGTCCGGAAAACTAGAATAAACACAGCCAAGAATTAAAGAACGTTTAAGCCACCCTCTCCCAAAATGATCCGTTTGTGACCCTAGCATCATCCAGCGGCAGCAAGTATGG